CTCGGTTTGGGGGAATTCGGATTTGGACGAATACAACCCCCTAAATTCACAAAATCCAACCCCCAATTTTTTCCTAACCACTAAATTCACGTTGGAGTTGTTAATGGCGTGAGAGTTCTAGGTGTCGGAGGGGGTGAGATAAGTGATGGCAAATTCATCGAGGAACTTTTGTTAAACATGGCGACTCTTATGCCAGTGTTGCAGGCAACGAGGAAAGAAGAAGCCTAGGATTGGATTTTTTTGGGGTTTGGGGTTCTACCGATGGAGTAGATGTTGCAGCGGGAGGAGAGGATGAGGTTATGGGCTTTTTCTCTGGGGGGGGGGGAATTTGGGGACGGGGTTAGTGGCGGGAAAATGGGTGGCTCGGGTGGGCAAGGGGGTGGTGGTGGGAGAAGAAGTGGGGATGATGAAGAAATTGTAAATTTTTTTATTTTTTAATTAATTATTTTAATATGTTAATATTCAAATTAGATTTTAATTTTTTATTAATTTTTATGCCACGTTGCACATTTTTGTCAGTCACGTCAGCACAAATATGGATTTTATATTTGTCACATCACCAATTAACGGATTTTCTAATGAATGTATGAAATTGAAATAAAATAATAAGTAAATGTATGAAATTGAAATAAAATAATAAGTAAATGTATAAAATTGAAATGTCTTAAAAATATTGTATAAGGTTACAATTGATCCCAAATCTGAGGAGATAAAATGTAATTTACCTAAAATAAATTTTTTCAACACTTATATAAAAAGACGTGATGTACTCCTTATATTTTAAATCCAACAAAATATTTCTCCAAAACTAGATCCGTGACCATCGGACTTAAACGTGGGTGGGGATATAAATAATGTGTAATGGTAGGTCAATTGCGGCAAGTGGGAGTAGAAAGTAGAGTTCATTCAGGTTTAAAATATTACAAAGTACAGTTGATGTGTTGGTGCATCAGAAACTAGGTAGAGAGAGATGAGTTCGAGGTCTGTGGAATCTGTCCCTCAAAATTATAAACTTGTAATATTAGTTTAACATTTTATTTTCAAATTTTTATTTATTAATTAATAGGTAAAGTTAAGTAATAATTAATTAACAAGTGAAAATAAAACACATACATATATATATATATATATTATAGGGATAGGATCAAAGAACAAGTATTTTGACAAATATTTTTACACTTTTTTAAAGCCTTTAAATCACATAACATCTAAGGGACCTTTTTTATTCATTAAATGACATTGATGGTTATGTGGGTTTTTTTACTAATCAAGATGGGGTTAGGAAGGGTTTTTTTTTCCCAAATATCAGGAAAAAGGGTTCAGGAGAAAAAAAAAAGATCAAGAAGGGTTTTTATTTATTTATTTTTACCAAAGATCAAGAAAAAAAAACAAGAGACGAAGGCAAAGGCTTGGCGGCTTACGCCTCTGCTGGCAGAGGGGATGACGTTAAGGGCGCTAAGATGCTAGAGGTTGCAGACCCATCGGCAAAGAAGGAGATGGAGACTACGAATCAATGGAGTTCTACCCCTTTCTTGTTTGCACGCTCATAGGGTTTCTTCCCATTTATTTTTATTTTTAATTCCTTTTAGATTTTATGCCTCTTCATTTTATTTATTTTTCTTTAATGTTAGTTAAAATCCACGTAAGCATTCATGTTATTTAATGAATAAATCAGAGTCTTTGGATGTCATGTGGCTTAAAAAAAATGTAAAAATATTTGTCAAAATGTTTGTCCCTTAATCTTATCATATATATATATATATGTGCAATCGTCGCATCTTTTAAGGGTAATTACATTGTCATTTAAATTTTAAGACCATACCAATTCTCATGAATAGTGATTTCAATTTTAATTAAAAATGCATAATAAGTAATTTAAAAGTGTAAAAACATAAGTTATACAACTTTCATAAGTAATGTAAAAGTGTAAAAACAATACGAACGCAGATAGTGACAAACTCTATAACTTTCTTGAAAGATTTAACTTCAAAATCCGACATCAGAGTTCATAAACTTTAGTGACAAAATCTAACCGTTCGATTGGTAAAATCTTGTACCCAAAAACCAACCTCATCGAATAGCAAGGCTTATGGACGAAAAACGACCATGAATTTGGGGAAAATTTTGACTGCGGTGGAACACCAATAAACCCACCTACCCTTTTCTTTTGGCCAAACACCAATAATCCTCCCCCTTCATTGATTCAGCCATTCTATATAACCAACCCAGTTTTAGAAACCAAGCCGCAACCTTATGGTCCTAATCTCTCTCTCCCTCTCAGTAAATCTTTCTTCTTCCCAAATCACAAACCATATCCGCAATCTTCGCTTCTGTCCCTCTATCAAGCTTTCGTCTTCCTCCCGTCTTCTGTTCCGCCTCATGTCTGCTTAAGCTCGGGACGAACAGTATAATTTATTTATATCTCATCAATTAATGTTAACACATAAGTTGGAGTCACCTATAGTGACATGTACGACTTATTCATATCTCATCAATCAATGCTAGCACATAAGTCGGAGTCACCTATAGTAACCTATACGACTCATCCATATCTCATCAATCAATGCTAGCACTATCATCAACATGTACTCACCTGAAGCTTACTTGGCATCCGCAGCGTCATTTGACATAACCACTTTAACATCCCAACATTCTTAATCGGAACTATACCTAATGATAGGCCAGAATAAGATCATGGTTAATATCTACGCTGTTAACCATCATAACTTCTTTCCTTAAAGAAATTAAGTACCGTATTAAATTCAAATTGTTTTATGGCTGCATCTAACTGTCTTGTTAGACTGTCTACGTACCCTCAAATGGGATCAAGCCATTCGTAGTTCAACTTAGTACGTCAAAGCATTCACAGTAACTATATGTAGGTAATATGCATATGGTTATGCCACGTGACACATTTTTGTCAGTCATGTCAGCACAAATATATTTTACATCTGTTACATCATTAATTAATGGATTTTCTAATGGATGTATGAAATTGAAATAAAATAATAAGTAAATATATGAAATTGAAATAAAATAATAAGTAAATGTATGAAATTGAAATTTCTTAAAGATATTGTATGAGGTTGTAATTGATCCCAAATTTGAGAGAATAAAATATAATTTATCTAAAATAAAAATTTTCACCACTTATATAAAAAGACGTAATGTACTCCTTATATTTTAAATCCAACAAAAAATTTCTCCAAAACTAGATCCGTGATCATCGGACTTAAACGTGGGTGGGGATATAAATAATGTGTAATGGTAGGGCAATTGCGGCAAGTGGGGGTAGAAAGTAGAGTTCATGAGTTCATTCAGGTTTAAAATATTACAAAGTACAGTTGATGTGTTGGTGCATTAGAAACTAGGTAGAGAGAGATGAGTTCGAGGTCTGTGGAATCTGTCCCTCAAAATTATAAACTTGTAAGACCATCTCAATCCTTGGGCTAAAAGTCAAATTTTTTAGCCCGGAAAATTTAGCTTTTAGCCCAGAAACATCTTTTCTGCTCTAACCCTTCTACCCTAAAATTTTAGCCCGGAATTATTAAAGAATGGAATTAGCCTAAATTTTTTTCTTAAATCAATTTTTTTTTTAAAAATAAATATGTAGATTATTGTAAATTAATTTTATGAACATTTTAACCTAAAAAAATTTAAATTCCGATAAACATTTCGCATTTAGCCCGGGGGGAAAGCGGGGTATTTGGCCCAGAAATAGCATTTGACATTTAGCCTAAAATTTTAGCATGGGTTGGAGAGTGTTTGGGGGGATAATTTGGGGGGTAATTTAGCTTTTAGCCCAGAGTTGGAGATGGTCTAATATTAGTTTAACATTTTATTTTCAAATTATTATTTATTAATTAATAGGTACAGTCAAGTAATAATTAATTAACAAGTGAAAATAAAACACACACACATATATATATATATAAAGTTAAGTAATAATTAATTAACAAGTGAAAATAAAACACATACACACATATATATATATATACATATATATTATAGGGATAGGATCAAGGGACAAGTATTTTGACAAATATTTTTACATTCTTTTTAAGCCTTTAGATCACATAACATCTAAGAGACCTTTTTTATTCATTAAATGACATTGATGGTTATGTGGGTTTTTTTTACTAATCAAGATAGGGTCAGGAAGGGTTTTTTTTTTATACCAAATATCAGGAAAAAGGGATGAGGAGAAAAAAAAAAGATCAAGAAGGGTTTTTATTTATTTATTTTTACCAAAGATCAGGAAAAAAAACCAAGAGACGAAGGCAAAGTCTTGGCGGCTTACGCCTCTGCTGGCAGAGGGGACGACGTTAAGGGCGCTAAGATGCTAGAGGTTGCAGACCCATTGGCAAAGAGGGAGATGGAGACTACGAATCAATGGAGTTCTACCCCTTTCTTGTTTGCACCCTCATAGGGTTTCTTCCCATTTACTTTTATTTTTAATTCCTTTTAGATTTTATGCCTCTTCATTTTATTTTTTTTCTTTAATGTTAGTTAAAATCCACATAAGCATTCATGTTATTTAATGAATAAATCAGAATATTTGGATTTCATGTGATCTAAAGGCTTAAAAAGAATGGAAAAATATTTGTCAAAATGTTTGTTCCTTGATCTTATCCCATATATATATATATATGCAATCGTCGCATCTTTTAACGGTAATTACATTGTCATTTAAACCATTCCAATTCTCATGAATAGTGATTTCAATTTTAATTAAAAATGCATAATAAGTAATGTAAAAGTGTAAAAACATAAGTTATACAACTTTCATAAGTAATGTAAAACTGTAAAAAAAATACAAACGCGGGTAGTGACAAGCTCTACAACTTTCGTGAAGAATTTAACTTCAAAATCCGACATCACAGTTCATAAACTTTAGTGACAAAATCTAACCGTTCGATTGGTAAAGTCTTGTACCCAAAAACCAACCTCATAAAATAGCAAGGCTTATCGACGAAAAACGACCATGAATTTGGGGAAAATTTTGACTGCGGTGGAACACCAATAAACCCACCTAGTCTTCTTTTGGTCAAACACCAATAATCCTCCTCCTTCATTGATTCAGCCATTCTACATAACCAAACCCAGTTTTAGAAACCAAGCCGCAACCTTATGGTCCTAATCTCTCTCTCCCTCTCAGTAAATCTTTCTTCTTCCCAAATCACAAACCATATCCGCAATCATTGCTTCTGTCCCTCTCCCAAGCTTTCGTCTTCCTTCCCCTCTTCTGTTCCGCCTCATGTCTGCTTAAGCTCGGGACGAACGGTATAATTTCTCCTCAAAAAGCTTTAACCGTCAACATTTGGCACACCAACTAAAGTCGCACCGGCACCGGCACCGCCGACCATAAGAGAATCAGCAGGTAATCTTAATATAAATTCTACGCGGTATCTAACAATCTATAGTTTCGGTGCAATTTAATTTGAGACAGATTCTCTTTTTCTTTTTGCATTTCAAGTACTCGTTGCTAAAGAGTTTCCATTTACGATATTCTGCCAGAATTTACAGGAAATGGCTGCAGTAGGAAACCTTATAGGAGGAGGGATTGTAGGCACATTGTGTTCGGAGCTGTATAATCTTGTTGTTACTCTGATAAAAACGACTAACGAGTTCAGTCCCCTCCTCGAAGCGATCAAATTAACGGTTGGCGGTTTGGAGTCACTGATCCCACAGATAGAAGATCGAAATGAGAAACTGAAAATCTCAAACAAGGAGACAGAAAGGTTAAAGAAGGCCTTGACCGATGGCGTAGAGCTGGTTGGCGAATGCTCCAACAATCCCAAGTGGTACAAGAAGGCTAAATATACAGACAAACTCACCGCTTTGGACGAGGCTCTCGAACGGGAGTTAGATATGCTAACAGCGCATGCAGCGAGCGATACAAAAGAGGCCTTGCTTTTGACGAGGAAAAACCACGACGATCTTGTTAAATTGGCGAGGGATGGGAGAAAGGGGTTGGAAATGGCGAGGAAACACGGCGATCAACTAGTAGAATTGGCGAAGGATGGGAGCGAGACATTCGATACAGTAAAGGAAATAATGAATCTGATCTATCATTTTCTAGGGTATTGTATATCAGGCCTGATCGTAATTATTGTTTTCTGGGTAGTGCTGCACACATTTATTCTGCTTGGAGAGAGTAAGCGGAATGCAACAGCAGTACTGGACGGGATAATATTTCCCCGCTGTAAAGTCTGCAAATCGGTTGTGGCCCTTGTGGAGTGCGCGGGGTTATGTATATCTTTGGTCTGGACATATGCGAAGCTACTGCATGCGTATTTTCTCACTGCGTCATGCTTCTTCTTCCTCACTGCGTCATACTTCATCAGCTTCACTATGGTAATTCGTGATCAGTATAAACGAGGTTTCTCCCGCTCAGAGGTCTGCAGATTGCTTTTCCAGATTGGCTGCAATTCTATTTTCTTGTTCATCATCTGCTGGATTGTTTTCTTATGTAAATTTTTCGAGTAAATTAATGAGCAATTGTCCTCTAAATTAAGAAAGAAATTCCCAGTAAAGAGATCATGTACCACCAGGTCATAGCACCAAAATGACACAAGTGTTGCGATCCTTGTTTAGTTAGGAATGTGATTGAGTATGCTCTACAGTTTGAGTTCCTTATCGCAAAAGTTACCCATTGCTTTACAATTTCATCCCACCGATCGACGTTTATGCATTTGAATCTATCGTCGGAGAAGACTGGAGAGATGTAGTGGGATGGAACTCTTCCGTTTGTAATCGTCTGTGTTTATTTTTTATTTTCTATTTATCATATTTTCATTTTGTGTTTTATTTCGACTGTACTATCCTTTATCAAATTTCTTCATAATTTATTGCATGGGTTCATTTTTATTTTTTATTTTTTGTTTTAAGGGTTTTTTGGTCCAATTCTTTTTATTTTTTTTATGAAGCCCTTAGACCCCAAAATAGGGTTTCAGCTTTCTTGTATTAGAGAGTAGAGATATTGAGTACCGGGGAGCATCGATCACATGTAGCAATTTTGATACAATAAAGAAAGTAAAGTTGTACCCAATTAGTCATAAGAGGAGTTGTTCTAAATATGTATTCAATCAGGATTTTAAGATAGTTTATTAAAATTCTTAGAAATCTGGGTGTATTCAATTAGGATTTTAAAGAAGTTTATAATATTTCAGGTGTATTCATTTAGAATTTGATTTTAAAGAATTTAAAAAAATTGAGGAATTAGAGGGAATTAGAGAGATTTTGTAGTGTATTTTAAGTATCCACAAATCTCTCATCTCCCCATGAGATTTCGAGGGAATTGAATCAAAATTTTACATGAAATCTCTACAAATCAATTAAACTCCATAAAAATCTATTAATTTATAAATTCATTAAAATCTCTCTAACTCTCAATTAAATACACCCCTAACCTTCTGACGTGAGACATTCTTCACGTCCTTGTAATGTCTTCTGGTGCAACATAATTGGTGTTCATAGGAATATGTGTTAAAGGTGTGTGGTGAGTGTAGATAAATAGACTAACTTAGATGTCGAGTAATGCCTTGTATTGTCTTTTTCACTCAATGAAAGAAGTTAAGTTCCACTAGTAGCGATACCGCTAATACCAATTGGTGACTGAAATTGTGTTTTTCTTTAGAAACCATAGCTATCAATTGGTGTTCAACAAGAAAAGAAGAAGAAAAAATCGTAGATTATTAGTTCATATAAAAGTACATAAATTAGGTGCCACTTAGTAGTACGGTCTAGCAGTATTTCTCTTCATTTGTAAGTGATACGTCTTAGGTTCGATTCTCGCAAAATACGAATTTGAACCATATTATTGCTAACATATTGTGAGGTGAAACCTAGCATATATCATTTAGAATAGATAATATCGTTTTTTTTTAAAGTACATAAATTAGATAGTAAAAAACAGTTTCAGATAAGGAGAAAATCCAATTGTGAGGAGATCGTTAATCATATTATTCGCGTATTTAGAACGAATACGACGGCTATGCTTATAATATAAACAAACAAACAAAAAATTTGGGCTTTGGGCCTGTGAATTTGAGAGCTTTGGGCTTGATAGTGAAAATCCAATTGGAATTCAGTTAAGATTCCCACCCAAATTTTGGGTGCAAAATAATTTGGGCTATCTTTTTAGTTACTAAAACACCCTTACCAGCTTAAATTATTACGTCTCACGCAATGATGACATCGGTCACGTCCTCCCGGTTCACCGTGAAATATACAGGCTATAGCAGATGCAAGTCCGTCGAAAAACGGCACCGTTTATCGGTCCCGCGCTGTGTCTGTTAGCTACTTTGTGTGCCTGGCTTGGCTAGCGTCAGACCCCCAGCCGAGCAACACCGGCGATCTCCATTTCCGCTCTCCTCCCTGCGCCTGGAGATCTCCGATTCTCCGACCACCAAAACGGTACCGTGTAGTAACCGCTTCGGATATAAGCACGGCCGATTTCGCTGAATTGGCTTCGATCTTTGTTTCGGTTAGGATCTAAAGCGTTTGTCTCTCTCAGGTTGCAACGGAGCGTTTAGCAATGTCGACGACGGAGATCGACGGCCAAATGGAAGAGAATTCGAATGCGGATTCGAAACCGCTGAAGCGCGGAAGCAACAGCAATGGAGATCTCGCGCAGGAGAATGGCGGCCCGGACTCCGGCGACACACACGATCAGCTCGTCCAGACGGTCATGGAGCTCAAATTGCAGAACGAATTCCTCAAGTCTCAGTTCGAAGGGTTTCGAAATCTTCAACCGCCGGAGCCGGAAGGCGGCGAATCGGAGGAGGTGAAGCAGCTGCGGCAAACGATTGAATCGCTGAATGTGGAGCTTTTGGAAGAGAAGCAAACGCGAGCTGCGGCGGAAGTGGCTCTGAAGCATCTTCAGGAATCGCACTTTGAAGCAGATTCCAGAGCTCAAGAGCTCTCTGTAAAGCTCGCTGAAGGTCGGTTTGTGCTTCTTCATTCATACATTTCTAGTTTCGTTGGAAAATTTAGCTAATTGCGAAATTCACAATCCTTCGGAGTCTGAATGTGTTAGAACTGTTTGCTGTTGTTTTTGTGCAGCGCAAAAGAAGTTGGATCAAGAAATAAAAGAGCGGGAAGAGAAGTACTCCGATCTCGACTCAAAATTCACCCGGCTTCACAAACGAGCTAAGCAGCGGATTCAAGATGTTCAAAAGGTAAATTATCTCGATTATTTCTATCGAACTTTTTCTTGTTGTTTTAACTGCCGTTTGAATTAAGCTATGTTGGTTCGATATTGTCTTCTTCTTCTTTTTTTCCTCAGGAAAAAGATGATCTCGAGGCTCGATTTCGTGAAGTAAATGAAGCGGCTGAGCGTGCATTGTCTCAGCAGACGGCATTGCAGCAAGAGCTGGACAGAACCAGGCAACAAGCGAATGACGCGCTGAAAGCAATTGATGCAGAGAGGCAACAACTGAGAAGTGCAAACAACAAGTAAATCTCCGGTTAACTTCCAACCGTGACCAATTTGTGTATATCTAAAGAAAATCGTAACTGTTCCTTTTTTAAATTTTTTTTTTTTCACCTTAACTGTGATTATGCTGCCGATATTCAGACTACGAGACAACCTTGAGGAATTGCGGAACCAGTTGCAACCAAAGGAAATTGCTATTGAGACATTGCAACAAACAGTTTCAGATAAGGAGCAGGTATGATTGTTTGTGCTTATCCTTTGGGATGTTCAGTTTCTGACTGCAAAACTAGTCGGTTGATGGATCAAGAAGTCCATTATCCTCTTGTTTTTGTTTTCCGTCCGTGGATGTTTGCGTATGTGCTTGGGCCTTAGGGTAACGTCCATGTGAAACCGAAAAGAATATATACATTATTGCTATCTTGCATTTGTCTCAGATGTTGGAAGACATGAGAGGGATGCTGCAGGCTGCTGAAGAAAAAAGGCAAGCTTCATTAGCTGAACTCTCTGCTAAACATCAAAAGGTGTATTTGCATTTGTATGCCTAATTAGCAGTCCTCTTTGTTTATAATTGTAGTCCCTGCCATTACATTCACCCATAAATTGTGTTTTAATACCCTTTGTCTCTGTGTCTTTCAGAATTTGGAGAGTTACGAAGCCCAGCTTGCTGAAGCTTCGTCTGATAGAAATAAAGCAACTGAAACCATTTCTTCACTGCAGGTGAGAGCTTTAATCATAATGTTCACTCCATCTTTGACAACTTATGTAGAATATAGATAGGGCTGAAATTTCTTTTTGAAAACTATTTCTCGTTCATAAGTCTTCTAGGAACAGTGTAGCATGCTGAAACTTAGATTGTGTCTAGAAAAAAACCACAAACATGTTAAATCAAGCTCAAACACTCCTTTCAATTGCAGTTTATTATTATTATCTTTATAATCGAATGTTATAAAACCCCACTTGATATACAAGGAGCTGGAAAGTTGGCTTCAGAAACAATAAAGTAGAAGTGGATTACTGGCTTCTTTATCCTTTATCTTTGCATCAATATGGGATAATAGTTTGACACCATTATATAGTTTGACTGAATGTTTCTGTAATTGTAAAGGGATCAGACTAATTAGAGAATGTAATTCTCCAGATGCTAGTTGCTGAGAAAGAATCTAAGATTGCAGAAATGGAAGCAGCATCGACGGGTGAGGCAGCAAGGCTTAGAGCCACGTTGGAAACCGTTAAAGGAGAGCTTGCTCACCTGAAACATGAACATGTACAACTCTGACTTAGGATAAGTAAAAACTTATGCAAATGGATTATTGCATTATGGCTGCCAGGATAAGAATTTTGTTTCTTTTTTTGTGAAAAGTAATATTGTATTGGCAGACCATGATGTATTCCTTATTTACTATCAGCCTTGCCTTCGGTTAGTTTATAGCTTCTGGCTTTTGGGATATGCTGCTTCTAATTTTTATATCCTAAATTTTTTATTATTATTTCAGGAGAAAGAAAAGGAGAGCTGGGAAGCTGCCACCCGAGCTCTGAAAACAAAGCTAGAAATTTCTGAGAGCAACCGGATATGTGCTGATATTGAAGTAGCCAAAATGAGAAGTATATCTCTATTCCTTGCTGAATTTCATCTGTTTAGTTAAGATATCTGTGTATGTATATCAGTGTCACATACTTTTCTTATTGGGCAGGCCAGCTGGAGGCAGAGGTGTCTGCACAAACACAAAAGCTTGATGCGAGGGATGCTGAACTTGCAGCCCTCAAGGAAGAGGTTTGAATTTACACTTTGGGAATCCGCCTCTCTTCCATTAACATTTGATGACTGTCGAAGTGTGCAGAGAGTATATGTTTTTATCCTTTCCCATCTCCCTTTATTTTCAATGGGGTTAAACTTAGTGAATATTTTGATGGTAATAATAACAGTTTTAGTACATAACACTTATTTACAGAAGCAGGATAACCATTGTTTGTTTGGGGCACATTTAGTTTAGAGCTAACAGCAGTTACTTAAATGCTCATGCATTCTTGGAATCTTCCGTTCCGACATGGATATAGTTTGCAACCCTGGTTCAGGGGCTATGTTGTTGCGTAACTTTACTGCAAATTTTGCTGTAATCTGTTGTTGAAAATGAAGTTGCTTACATATAAATATCTCTTGATCTGTCTTCTGTCCTCATATGTTTGACCTATTATTTCCTTCAGATCAACCGCCTTGAACGTGAGTTTTCTTCTTACAAAAGCCGTGCTCATGCACTTCTCCAAAAGAAGGATGCAGAGTTAGCTGGAGCTAAAGACTCAGAACAAGTCAAAGCTCTTGAAGAAGCACTGAAAGTGTGTGCCTGCAATTAATCTTTATTTTTGTAGCATGAAG